GGGCAGCTGTTTCATCCTCGTTTGGGAATCATCCGCAATAGGCAACCACTGGGGTTCGAACCCAGGACATTCCGGTTACAAGGCAGCTGTATAAGTTGGTATAGTGAAGTAGATGCCATAGGAAACAATAAAGAATTTTAATACGAGTAAAATAATCATAAAGAAATATAACGTCCGGTTATAAAATCTTGTAAGAAAACGTAGACAGACTGTTGGAATCCTTGAAGTGTTCGAAAATAGGAGCCTGAAGATTAGTCATGCATCTAACAAGTGGTTAAAATTAATGAATGATTGATTATGTTAAGTTAAGTACTCCAGGAAAAAGCTCCACCGTTGCAATGCATCCACTTGCATTTAATCACATAATAAGGTAAAAGTATTAAAAAGTAATATACTTGGATGAAGAGAGAGAGAGAGGTTAATCATCGAATCAACAGCAAACACATCAAATATAAACGACGAAACACCTACACCGTAAACTAAACACCGTAAAACGAAACTAAAGGGGAGTGGAAGTATATTAAGCAAGTTATGAGGCTTTGCGAATACACTGATATGATTATGAGCAATAAGTTGTGGCCGGTATATCTTAAATGGTTTTATTGAGTGTCTAGTATCTAATAAGTGGGTTAACACTGCAGTATTTACACACTTGGTTACCCCTTTACTCAGCCATACAGATACATGTCCACGTGCGCACATGGATAAAGCCCTCTGAGTACGGCCAATAGGAGCTCGTAAATACACATGGATGAGGCCATCGTTGGCAATTTATCCTTGGCTCGTTGTATGAGTACTGCTTTAGTTGAGAAGCTGAGTACCAGTTTACCTGCAGGAAATGTTCTCTCTATTGATCTATTAAGTCGACATTTTAGAATGTCTGCTTCAGTCTCCCCTTTGTAACCTAACTCGGGATACAAAGTTTTCTCATCTACGGAATCCATCATTACCCTATCTCTAGGTGACGACATGTGCTTTTTAAAAAGGTTCTCTAGATATCCGTTTTCTTATAGTTTAAGTTTCACTTCACACATCTCTTCCTTAATGCAATCGTCTGAACATATGCGTTTTATTCTATAACTGATACACTTAACTAAGTTCATTTTGTACTGAATCGGTGTGAAGATATGACATGGTTGCACTGTTGGTTTATTTTTCTGTAGAATTCATACTGTCTCACACACATCACTGATCACACTCACCCTCGAAACCTATACTTTTGTTGTCTATCATATACATCATTAAGTTATTTCATCTCATGTTCTCATTGACCATGTATATTCAAAACTGATTATTGTTGCATCCCACTTTGTACTTGTTCCACAATACATTTCTGATATGATTCTAGTTTGCCCTTACCGGCTATTGTATGCTTAAATTAATGGATTGATAATTGTAGAGCCTGAAGAAGAATTTATTGAAAACAATTGTTCGCTCTAACTATTTTTGTATATATATATATATATATATATATATATATATATATATATGAATTACTTCAGCTTCAAACAAGATTAATTGATTAGGTATTCATTGCATCGAAATCCTTACTTTTCAACCTACTTTTATTTGTGATCCAAGCATGATAACACTTTGTATGACACATAACTTCCCGGAACTTTGAAACCTTGATTGCATAACGAAATAATATTGATAAAATATGTCACAGACGTACATAAAATTGGTGCACTATGGTCTTTTGGGGAATTATTGGTATCCAAACTCTAAACAGATGTGGTTTGTGCAATAAACGTTTAAGTTCAAACTGATTCGAAACCCCCATATCAAATTAAAAATGGCAAGTAATGTGAAGATTTGTCTCACAATATGGTAACCAGTACGTTAGGGTAGGATACGCTAAAGCGATTTGGTAGTAGCCACGCCTTATGCATTTAACAGTATAAATACATTTTCTGATTGTAATCCTTAAGATAAAATTCTAGAAATAAGAAAATAAACATTCCTAACTGGGCCACATCAGATTAACGAAAGATATATCACGTAAACTGGGTTATACTAAAATTTATACTGGCCTAGAACTGACTAAGTGAGGAAAGTGCATTGATGTCTAATGTTTGTTTAAACTGCAAAATCATATCTATTTTTTATGCTACAGCAGACAATGTCTTTAACTTTATTTTTTTATTCTCATCATCTTCTTTTTATTACGTTTTGTATACTATGCTGATGCAGAATGTGACATTTCGGCTAATTACATATTAGTAACGGACATTGGATGCGTCGGTGGTTCAGCGATAGAATGCTCACCAACCATGCATGTGATCCGGGGTTCGGTCCTTGGCCGGTGCACTCCTCTACCTGCCTAAACCAGTAAAGAGGGAAGGTTGGTCGTGAGGCTAGCAACCTTACCCGCAAAAATAAAGCGAATGCTACCGAAACTTCAAAGTTCTTGCTTGAAGCCCTATGTTCCACTCGGAACTTAAAGGAATAAAATAAATAATGACTAGACATTCTTGATAGCAAGAAAGACCAGATTTGCAATAATGACATGATGTCATTGTATTTCACAGGTTCTTATCAGCTGCAGACTACCTCAAGTTACAATAGTTAAAACAGAATGAAAATAACACGCTTCAATATTTGAATGGTAGCAGAGAAAATGTTATTAAAAAAATTAACACAGCTAAAATGTATGCCAATCCAAACTGTATAAATACCCTACCGATGTAACTAACAACTGAGTTCATAAACTTACGTGTATTTGCGGTAGCAAATTACATTGGAAAGATAGAAAAAAGGGCTTCTATCAGGTTTTCAGTACATATCCAAAAGAAAAACTTATGCTTAATAGAAAGTAAACATTCCCAAAGTACAATTACCAGACACCTTGTGGATACGAATCATTTCTTCAAAATTTCTAAATCATTCAAAATATTAAATATACAAAGGATAGCAAATTTACTACGAATTGCTGAAGCAATTGCAATTAAACGTTTCAAATCAAATTTATGCATATAGAAAAAGAGTGCGATCAGCCACTGTTTCTCCTGATAACTACATCATCCCTATTAGTGATTTCAGTTCATTGAGCAAGTTTTGAATTCTATGAACTATAACCTTCTTGAGTTGCTATTTAAACTGATAAGCTAACACTGTCTATTAGATTTTTCTGTCTTCTCCCAATTTCGTTTTCTACTTCGAAAGGCATGTAAATTGATGGTGACTTAAACTAAAAAATTGTAATGCTTACGTTTCGGATGCGTTAATCTTTTTTGTATCATTTTCTATTTACTACTATTCAGACACCAAAATATACTTTTTTTCATTCTTTTATAACCATGGTAATTCCAGCTAATCTGCAGCTGATGAGAACCTGTGAAATAGAAACACGTCATTTCATACTTCAAATTTGGTCTTTCTTGCTTTATCAAAACTACATTTACTTTTATAAATTTTGTTTAGTTTGAAATGCAAACAGTTGAAGATCAGGCCGAAAAAAATGCTCTCATCCATCTTAGAGGTGGTCCATTAGATAGTCCTTTATGGGATCCAGAAGTGAGTTGTATGTTTCAAAATACACTGTAGTATATTCTGAAAAATTACTAAATATTACGAAAAGTTGTCTAATAGAAGAAGAAAAAGGAAAACATTTCGAAATAAATGTGAAAATTATTTAGTTAGAAGTCAGTATGATACATTACTCAGTTAATTTTAAATTACAATATATGTTGGTATTAGATGCTTGAAGGCAATCGGCAGGAAGTTTTGGACCTAGGTTTGCTGCCAGCTGACACTCATTAGCAACCTGTAACCTTAATGGAACTCATGCCCGTTCTGGGTAATTATTAAGTTTCAAAGCTTCTCTACCATGCCTCACTTCCTGTCTTATATTTTCCTTGGTACTACTTAGATTTTTGTGCCCTGTTACTTAAACATTTCACCAATCCTATCTTCACTGACATAGGATGGGATTATTCGAAATCCAAATATCTATTTGAATGTGTGGGTTTTCTGTAAACACTAGTGTTTAACTTCCCATCTTCTTTCCTTTTTACGCTACAATCTAACATTGGAAGCTCCCCTTCCTGACTTTCCAATTCATAAGTGAATTGAATTTCCTTTATCTTCGAGTTAATGTGTTCAAAAAACCTAAGAACGGTGAATATGTCATCTACATACCTTCACCATCCCTTCAGGGTGGAGGTGAAGGTTCCATTGGTTAAGTTTTCCCACCTACCCAAGAATATATATGTCAGTCAGACTAGCGGAGCATAAAAACCTAGCAAAATCTAGATTAGTTGACCCTAGTAAGATAAGAAATCTGGAGAATAGTTCAGCTATAGCACTCACCACATACAATTACACACAACCATACAATAGGATGGGATAGGATGACAGTTTTAAAATCTAATGTCACAGGGTGGGGGATGCGAGAGATTCATAACGGAAGCTTTATTTATCGAATCAACTGAAGAGAGTACGTGTAGTAGGAATGATTCAACACCTGTGCAGCCGGACATCTGGAAAATTTTACTACCTCTACGACGAATAAGAAAGAATAAAGAAAACTATGAAACGAAAGCTTCGAATTTGTGTGATTATAATTGATGATATGATCATGAAGAATAAATTGTGTTCAACACATTATCATCCAGTAAATAATACTATTTCACTGTGTGATACCTCTAATAAGCAAATTAATAATGCTTTTTAGATACACCTTTATTTATCAAATAAAAATGAGTTCATCAATTTTCACCACAGGAAAGATTATATTACACTCTGGTTTTAGTTAACTCTTATATCTAAAAGACAAAGGATACGGTAATGAGTAAAGAATGCAAATGTAGCCTAAAAGGGGGAACTATGTAAAGATAATATAAAATTAATCTTTATTACACTGACTGTTGCAATAAAATAAAAACAAACATTTATGCCTTTCTGTGGTTCATACTTTTGTCATTTTATTCTATCGTTCTAACATTTACTCTAATAATTCTCTTCAACACATTGTTCATTCTTCTCTTTGTTTTATTTAGCCAACAATTCCTGTTATACCAGTGATTAAACCGCAACCATGGGAACTGAGCACTCTAATATTTGATACATGCTTCTATGCAATTTTAGCCATTATTATACTAGGACAAATTTTAATTATTTATAGAGCATGCTATAAATTTTTCGGTCATTTATTCAGAAAATTTATACTCACTGAAACATCACAGTCATTGGAATTAGAAGACTGGAATAAAATTCATATTGCAAAGTATACACCAAATTCTGTGGAATATGTCAAAGAATCACCTGAGAAGTATTATTTTCTAGCTGAAGATTATAAAGAATTATTGAGAATATTGAATTTTATTGATGAGCACAGTCGTGTATAATGAGTTTGTTAGTTAATCTGTTAAATCTATAAAAGTATGCTTAATGCAGAGAATTATTTTTTCGCATAGTACCTTCTCTGTTTTACACATCCTATTTTTTTGGTTGACTGTGCTATGGTTTTAGTTATCCTGTATTCTAATGCTAGCAAAAAATCTTAGTACTCATCTATTGTTATCATCAGTAGAATAAGAGGTGTCAGTACAATGTAACAAAGAATTTATGAGGAAAGATACGAATTCTGTGTAGAATCTGTTGTCGTGTGTGACCGGTCTCAATCAGCTGTCCTCTGGGCTTAGATACTTGGACAAGTAGTTTTATTCCACAGTATAAACAGTGAGAAGAATACGAACTCCTACACTTTTCCATATGCAGACGAAATTCTTTTGTCCATCATTCATCTACTTCTTTCTTTCATTTCACTGATAAAACTAATCCTTAGAGAGAGAGAGAGAGTTACTTCAAAAGGTATAGTTGGGAGTAATATATGGTTTCTATTGACTGTAAGCCAACAGCGGTGATTGTGTTTTTCAACCATATGTTCATCAACAACATAAAGACAAACACTGTTTTAACTAGAGGCGGCACAGATCAAGCCAACGATGGACACAACACAGCCCACCTACCTATAAGTTATAGTTAGGATAACCGGTGGAAGATTGCATCTCCTTCTGGAAACCTTAAGTGGAATCCGATTGAAATGCGACTCTTCAGATTATGACTATGATGAAGGCAAGTGGGAAACGAGGATTTTCGAAGTCCCTAAATGTTCAAAATTTCTTTCAGAACAATAATTGCATAATTGTGAAGATAGCTGAATATCACAGTTATACTCATACTCAGAAAGGTTGGCATGGTATGTGAATAAATGTATTAGCAGTCCTGAGGGCATAAGGGTGAATGGAGACATATCCCTGAAGATTCCACAAATAGACTCCTAGAGTAATAACAAAAAACAAACTAACAAAAAAAAAGGAATTTCCAAAACAAACAGAAAATTTCGGTTAAGATAAAAAATATACACAATCAAGATATAAAAGAAAAAGTCAAATAAAAAAAATTAAACATGTAAGTAAAAGGGAACAAAAGACAAAAAGCAACGGTATCAGACAAAAAATAGCGTAAAAAACCAGAAAAAAACACAAGTGAAAAATGTACACCGCAAAGAATAGAGAAGAAACAATACACACGAATAAAGGCCAGCTAATTCAAAAATATGTCAAAAGAAGCTTAAAAGAGCATAATGTCAGTAGACAAACTCGCAGTCATGAAGGCTGCAATCACGCTCAACTGTCTTCCCGTCGACAATCGATTATCACTGGAAAGTGAACCAGTACAATCCACTGTATTGAAAACACAAGGTACTCGTTACTGAACGAATCGAACTCACTCTCTCAGTAGTGTCTGATCTACTGAAGATCGCTAGACACCGATGCGTCCTTCTGCTGTGACAATTGTGATTGTATGTGTGTGGGCGCCGGCGTGTGTTAACATGTGCGAATTGTATTTGTTGTTTGTGGGTGTATGAGCAGGGGAGGTGTGGAATGTGTTTTTGTTGGTGGATGTTGATGGAGTGTTTGTGTTTATTTGTTGTACAAGGTGAGTGGATGATGATGAGTGGGAGTGGGAGGAGGAGGGAGCTGAGGAGAGTGAGTGTTCATTGTGTATGTGAGTGAGTGAGTGTGTGTGTGTGTGTGTAACTAACTGGTTGTGTTGATTGTGTTTGTGTAATTGTGGTAAGAAGGGCAGGTCGCGATGGCCGAGTGGTTAAGGCGTTGGACTAGAAATCCAATGGGGTTTCCCCGCGCAGGTTCAAATCCTGCTCGCGACGTGGCGATTTTGATCTGACAAGGCAGTTCGTCAACCTCACTGCTGATCGACCGTCCATCCGTTGTGCAACTCATCCACCTGGCTTGCTGCACACAACGCCTCGATGTCATCGCGTCAAGTGGGACACCGACGTCGCCGTCGCATCAACTCACCTCAGCTAACATTTTCTTCGGGCGCACTGCCGAACGTGGGACAAGTCCCCTAAGCCTGCCCCAATCATTCTGCAGTGCGCCAAAAGTCAATGCTAGCTGGGACATCTAGGCTTCCCGTGAAGTCTGTCCTCTCCTGCAATTGTCTCCGGTCGAGCTGCGTTGTGTGCACAACAGTGAGTCGTCGACAGCTAACTCGGATAGGAGTGATGCGAGTAGTTGAGATTAGGGGGGATGAAGTTGAGCGATAGGTTTGTCTCTTGTTGATAAAAGTGGTGTCAGGAGTGGGATTCGAACCCACGCCCACAGAGTGGACTGCGACCTGAACGCAGCGCCTTGGACCGCTCGGCCATCCTGACCGTGACTGGTTTCGCCTGATACACAACTATTCACCCCACTCATCCTCAAACACACAACCAACAAACGCACACTAAATCCCAGTCGCAGTCACAAACGGAAACGCAATCACACAATCAACCACTCAATCAGTCATTCACTCATCCCCTCAATTCATACGCACACACACATGCAAGCACAACACAACAACTCCTCACAGACTGTCTCTCCACCTCATCAACTCACTGCCTGTTAACCTGTCAGATTGACTTATTGATTGACTCTCTGTTTCACTGAATGCCAATCTCTCCTTCTATCTGTCTGTCGGTGTGTCTGACTGCGTGTCCGTCCGTCTATCCGCCTGTCTGTGTGGCCGTCTGTTTGTCTCTGTGCCTGTCTCTGTGTGTGTGTGTGTGTATGTGTGCCCCCCTGTGTGTCAGTGTGAGTCGCTGTGTTTGTGTGTGTGTGTGTGCGTGCGTGCGTGTGCTTGCGTCTGTGTCTGTGTGCGCGCACCTGAGAGAGGGAGAGTGAGAGAGCGAGAGTGTGTGTGTGTGTGCGTGCGCGCGTGAGTGAGTGAGTGAGTGTTTGTCTCTGTTTGTCAGCCAGTCTGTCGGTCAGGCGGGAACTCCGTCTGTCCGTCTACCTGACTATTTGTCTGAATGTCCGTCCGTCTCTCCGTCTGTCTCTCTATCCATTCATCCGTCTGTTCATCTATTCGTCTCTCCATCCACCTCTGTGACTGTCTCCCCACCCACCCCTCGAGTCTGTCACACAGATACTTCCATCTGTCAACAAGGCTGACTGTATTTCTGAGTCCGTATCTCTCGCAGTTTATCGGTTGCACTCCTATCTCTGCATATCTTCAACAGTTTAGCGCCGTTACACATCCAGACACTCGAATCTCGTGGCAACAGAACTGCATAAATTCGCATACATCCACAATCCCACTCCCACTTCCACTCCACCACCAGCACCACCACCACCAACACCACCACCACCACCAACAACAACAACAACAACAAGAACACACACGCACACGCACACATAAACTGTCAGAGACACAATTTCACCGACAAGTTTACCATCTCCTCGTCTCCTTCGATCTCCATTCACATTTGCCTTGACATGATTGGTTACTGAACACTCACACTGCACACTGTCAATAGACAAACTCGCAGTCATGAAGGCTGCAATCACGCTCAACTGTCTTCCCGTCGACAATCGATTATCACTGGAAAGTGAACCAGTACAATCCACTGTATTGAAAACACAAGGTACTCGTTACTGAACGAATCGAACTCACTCTCTCAGTAGTGTCTGATCTACGGAAGATCGCTAGACACCGATGCGTCCTTCTGCTGTGACAATTGTGATTGTATGTGTGTGGGCGCCGGCGTGTGTTAACATGTGCGAATTGTATTTGTTGTTTGTGGGTGTATGAGCAGGGGAGGTGTGGAATGTGTTTTTGTTGGTGGATGTTGATGGAGTGTTTGTGTTTATTTGTTGTACAAGGTGAGTGGATGATGATGAGTGGGAGTGGGAGGAGGAGGGAGCTGAGGAGAGTGAGTGTTCATTGTGTATGTGAGTGAGTGAGTGTGTGTGTGTGTGTGTGTGTAACTAATTGGTTGTGTTGATTGTGTTGGTGTAATTGTGGTAAGAAGGGCAGGTCGCGATGGCCGAGAGGTTAAGGCGTTGGACTAGAAATCCAATGGGGTTTCCCCGCGCAGGTTCAAATCCTGCTCGCGACGTGGCGATTTTGATCTGACAAGGCAGTTCGTCAACCTCACTGCTGATCGACCGTCCATCCGTTGTGCAACTCATCCACCTGGCTTGCTGCACACAACGCCTCGATGTCATCGCGTCAAGTGGGACACCGACGTCGCCGTCGCATCAACTCACCTCAGCTAACATTTTCTTCGGGCGCACTGCCGAACGTGGGACAAGATTTTTCAGATTCAGATTTATTGTTTGAGGATAGAAGGCTTGGAGCCTATGTTAATCCTTTTCTAGTAAACTTCTGTGGTTGTCCAAACCCTTCTTGAACGAATCAACTGAGGTTGCAGACACCACTTCTTCTGGGAGTCGGTTCCAAGAGTTTATGACTCTGTGTGAGAACCAGTACTCAACAGCAATATGATTTCTTCTTGGCTTTTGAACTCTCCTGCTATGTCCTCTAAGGTGTTTCAACCTGGTGGGAAGGAAAAGAGAAAATAGGTCAGGTCCGTAGTCATTATTTAAAATTTTAAACATTGTGATTAAATCTCCTCTCTGCCTACGGTATGACAAGGAGAAGAGATTTAAACTGTCTAGTCTTTCCTCGTATGATAAGTTAGTCATGCCATGAATCATACGTGTTGCTTTCCGTTGAACCTTTTCTAAAATAAGTGAGTCCCCTTTTAGACAAGGGCTGGCGGCCTGGATGCAGTTTTCCAGTCTTGACCTCACCAGAGATGTATATAAGGAGGTGAACATATCTCTGGTGATTCTAGTGAAGGCTCTACGAATTGCCCATAATGACCTGAAACTACGTGCAGCCACCGCGCGACAGTGTGCTGTAGTTTTTAAGTCGTGGCTAACTATGACACCTAAGTCCAAGTAAGTCTGAACTGATGGAAGTGTAATTCCCTCTAGTTCATAAGAGCTCGTGCTTGCTTGTCCAATGCGCATGGTTGCACATTTTGTCACGT